TAAACTCCTAATCTCTGCCATCTCAGATCATAAACATCTCTGTGCAAGGCCTGGCACGGCGCTGCCCCGACCTCCCCCTGCTGTGCTATCACCACAAGATAAAGCCGTCTCAAGCTGAACGTGGTACAAAACATTCAATTTTTATAGAGCCCTCTTATCTCCTGAAACTCCAAGCAATCCTGCCTTTTTATCACCGGGATGTGAGCCATCCTTTCTACTTACCATTAGAAATTGGTGCTGCTTGATTAAGTGCAGGGAATGATGTATTCGTCTAAACATTAAACTTCAACTGACCTCCCCTTCTCTTTAAATATTGTGCTTTTTCCTGCTGTGAGGCCATGGTCAGCCCTCGCCCTGGCCTGGCGGGGTCCCTGGGGGTGCAGGGTGATGGAGCGGGAGCGACTAGGGGGCACGACAGAGAGCTGCAACAATGTGAAGCCTCTTGTAGTTTATGTGCAGGTGGGGAAAAAAAATTGCAGTCCTGCAGCATCTGCTGGCCCTCAGGCACGGGGCAGCGCGGACAGCAGGACTGGGCGGCTTGGAGCACCCCTGGAGCACCCACCTCCTAAGTGCTTCATCCCGCAGCCAGCTCCCAGGGAGGAGAGAGCTGCTGGTGGGTGCGTTGGAGCCTGTTGGGAGCAGCCTGCCCTTACCAGCCTTTCCCAGAGCCCCCTGTTTGCCCTCCCCACCAAATGCACCGCTCTGGGGCCAATTTAGCCATCAATCGCTACTTTCCTTTTTCCCATTAAAAAAAAAGAAATTCCTGCAGGGTGTTACCCCCTGCTCTGAACAACCTTCCGGTTGCGGCTTCTTTGCACAGAAGCACCCAGCTGCCTTGCTGCTCTCGGCTGCTAATTCCTGCACGGAGGCAAGTGATTCGGAAAACCAGATCTGGGACCCTGGGAGCGAGAGGGCTCTGTGCCGGCTGCCTGCAGCACCCATCACTGCCTTCCTGCACAGCATGATGCAGGGAACAGAGTCCCAGCAATGGAGCATGGCTGCTTTCCCCAGGTCCCTGCCATCATCCAGTGGACAAGGCTGCTGGAAGACAGAGCAGGGAAGCATCCCAGAAATGCCAAGAAGCTTTCAGCAAAAAAAAGGCCATGAAGCCAGCTGGGGATTTACAGGCCAGCACTCCAGGTGGGATCCAAGCACCTTCTCCAGTACGTGATGCTACCATCATGAGAAGGTTTCAAGGACCTGATTTTATAGATGCCTAAATAAATACATAGGAATTGACATATAAAACCACAGCGTATGTTTATCTATTTTGCAGGGGGACCGGGATGTAATTAGATGGCAGCATCTCTCTCAAGGCTATCCCTGTTGTAATTCATGTCCTGAGGCGGCTGGCCGAGGGGAGGAGGAGGAACAAATCAGGCAGCAGAATTGATGGTCTGCTCCCAGAAGCTTTGTTTCAATTAATTTCCAAAGCGCTCCTTGTAGCAGAGCAGGCAGCAGCTTCAAAGCTTCCTTCCCCCCACCACCGCCTGTGCTCTCATGCCTGTGCCAGCATGGGGTCTGGGGCAGCAGGGTGAGCCCGGGAGTCGGCCCTGCTTCTACAAGCCCCCAGGCTTTTTGGTTAAAGTGTGCAGAAGCTGTTGCTGTTTTTAGCCAGGGGGACTTTTCCCTGGCCAAGAGGCCTCTTTGATGGCCACAGTGTGGGCAGGCGTATTTGTCAGGGCTTTTCCTTCTCCCCTTTTATTGACTTTCTGCTTGTTCCTGCTGCCAGGGGTCAGATGGGGCTTTGGCTGGACTTCGCCGAAAGTCCACCCGAAATGGCCAGTTACCAGGCGCTGACGCAGTGCCCTGCCCCTAAGATATAAGGGGCCTGAGAACTGGGTTTGCAGCCCAGTTGGGTGCGTGGTGGTGGGGCTGGGAAGGGGCTGTGCCAGCTCCAAAGCTCTTCCCGAATAAGTGGGCTTGTGAAGCTAAACTGCGTTTGCTGGATCCAGCAAGGTGACGGCAGTAACAGCAGCTTAGCGCTGAATTACGGGCAGCTTGGCTAGCATGGAGGGACCCAGCCCCAGCCAGGAAACCATGCCGACTGACATGGAGCCCTCCAACACCATCAAATTGCTGCACCTGGTTTTCCTCTCCACCTCCTGGGGAATGCAGATCTGGGTGACCTTCGTGGCGGGTAGGTTGCGGTCCATGCACACCACCGTGGTTCTCTGCCCACGGGGAGGTCCAGGGCAGGGGGCTTTGCCCCAGGACCTACCCACTCTCCCCCCTCGCAGGGTTTGTGATGGGCAGCCACCTCCCTCGCCACACCTACGGCTTCATCCAGCATGAACTCTTCCCCTACTACTTCCACATCGGCTCCGCTTGCGCCTTCCTCAACCTGACTCTATTTGCCATGTACCACCCCAGCGAGCTGCTCAGCGATGAACAAACGACCCAGGTAGCCTCCCGCTTTAAAACGCGAGCTGGCCATAGCTCAAATCCCTTCCTCTGCAGGGTCCCGCTCCGCTCTGCTCCACTGAGGCTGGTTTGCAAAAGATGATGAGGTCCGCACATGGCTCTGGTTAAAAGAAACCAGTTAGCATCCAGATTGCAGCGAGCCTTGTGTGTAAGAGGGGCTGGGGGAGAAATTTAATCCACCACATGTGTGAGATGTTCATGGCAAGTGTTGCCCCCCTGCAGATCATCATCTTCTTCGTTTGCGTCGCTGCTTCTGTGCTGAACACACAGTGGTTCGGGCAGGTCACCTCCGACATCGTGGCAGACATGCACCGCATCGAGCGCAGCCACGGCCTCGGCCAGGAGGTCGGGCTGTTTACCAGCAAGTCCTGCAGGCAGCTGTGCGCCTCCGACCCCAGCTACAGGCAGCTGTCTGGCCAGCTCACCCTCTACCGTGCTCTGTCCTCCCTCTGCAACCTCTGCTGCATCGTCTGCAATGGCTGGAGCTTGTACTACTTGGCTGCCCGTCTCTCTGCCCTGTGAGAGCAGGCCACCACGAGGCAAGGGCTGGCCGGCCAGAACCAATGCTCTGGGAAAAGGGAGCCATCCTGCTGCTTTGTTGCAAAGTAACCCTAAGCTTTGGAGATTAAATTTCAGCATCCTCAGATGGAGATACTTTCAACTGTATTTGTGCATGGTACAGAAATTTAGGAATAGTGAAATGGAAACACTTTCTTTAGAGCTGTCTGATTCTAGCTCTGGAAGCGAGAAAAATCCT